TACAGTTCCTTGTGCCCAATAACCTTTTCCAAAACTTACCTCTTTGTGATCATTAGTTAGTGGTACATCTGATTCAGGCAACGTGGATGATTCTTCATTCAAACTAATGTTAGTTAATGGCGGAGGAACTGTTGGTGATGATGCAAAAAGCTCTTCATTGCGCAGACTACTAAGATCCTAATAATCAAATAAAGAACAAAATTTTTGATTGAAACGATTTTCTTTCCTTTTAGATACGCCCCTACAAATGTCATGGCCACTCACGTCAATTGTCGAACTAAAGATATCGTCGTCTTCGTCATCGACTGGATCGTCTGTGGCCATCAAGGGGGGCAATTTTTCGTCAGTCATAATTTGAATTTAAAAATCTGGAGGGAAAAGTCCAGTGGCGAAGTGTTACGACACGGCTTGAATTTATTTGTCACTTCGCTTCCAGACACGAAAATCGAAGGGAAAAAGATATTAATTAAACGAATAAACGAAAACGCGACTTTGATCCGATTGCTACAACAAAATATGAATATGACGTGAGTATAATATTTAATCACAGCCTAAATAATATGGATAATTTGTAATGCAGCTGTAACTTATAACTAGTCAATGATCACAGATCTGTGAACTGTGGATACTGGCTATACAATTTGAAGTTTATAGTTTATACGATACGACAAATAATAGTAATAATAATAATAATAATACCTATCACGTCTGCAAAACGCCCGTATTCATTCTGTGATGATAACAGATGTCAGCAGAAAGATAACAAACTCATCGGTTACATGTATTGGCTGCACTGGTCTCACGTCTCGTCACCCTCCGTTTTGTCATAACCTAACTCAGACGTGAACAGTGGTACAGGTTTTGCTCTTACCAACAACGTTAACATGTATACCACTATTCAACAACCGACATGCTAACCACTCCGCTTCACCGAACACCATGGTTTTTCCATAGAGTGAGCCACTGAGCCTGACCCGCTTATGTATTCCATGATCCGTAATAATAGTAAGTTGACTGAGTTGTCCATTTTTCTCAACAGTCAACATTCGTTCTGTTCTTTTTGGATGCGTACGTTCGACGGTCCAGTCCTTGTTAGTTGATTACTTCTTTTTTTTTTCACTGTGAGTATTTTATAGTAATTTTTTTTTATTTAATGTATTAAATATTACTTCCGAACTATTGATAGTTGTTTTCATAGAATTTTCAATCGTTTTCTGCTATTACCACACTCGATCGAAATGGATAAAAAAATCACCGCATGAACATGTACACGCTATAATTCATTTTCTTTTATTTATAATTTTTCGGTACCCATCATTCTTAAGATATTTAAAATTTTAATGTTAAGGTGGTATTCGCAATTACAATGTCTTCAGTTCGTTCGAGACTTTTACTTATTTTTTTTAAATCGACGTGGGTATTGTCATGAATTGTGATAGTCGGTTTCATGACCTCGTGGGTCCAAATATTTGAATATGTTAAATGTCTATATTGAATTATACGGATGTTTGTGTATTAAACATCTATTGTTTTAGTTTCAGTTAACCACTCAAAATGGTCAACGGACGCATCCCGTCCGTGTACAGTAAAACGTACGTGACGCCTCGTCGTCCGTATGAGAAAGCTCGTTTGGACCAGGAGTTAAAGATCATCGGAGAGTATGGTCTGAGGAACAAGCGTGAAGTATGGCGTGTGAAATACACATTGGCCAAGATCCGTAAAGCCGCTCGTGAATTGTTGACCCTTGAAGAGAAGGACCAAAAACGACTTTTTGAAGGTTTGTTTTAATTCATAACAGTTATTTATTTTTTTTTAACATAATATTACTATGATGAAAACTAATTATATTCTGACACCTCTCGTCTGAAATTCCGACAGTGTTGCTAATTTAAACCTAACTGAGTTAGATTATGTTTTGTTATTTATTTTTATCTACAGCTTTATTTGTTGCCATTTCTTATTGACCAATGTGATTATTAAATAAACTTTCCAGGTAACGCTTTGTTGCGTAGATTAGTTCGTATTGGTGTATTAGATGAGAGCCGTATGAAGCTTGATTACGTTTTGGGTTTGAAAATTGAAGATTTCTTGGAACGCAGACTGCAAACTCAAGTAAATTTTATGTTATTTATTAATAAAAAAAAAAATTGTTGGAAGCTGATAAATTAATATGATGAATTTATAATTATTTTCTGACACCTCTTCTGAAAAACATTTTTGTTGATAAATAAATGTCTGAGACTTTACAGCTTCTTATTATCAATTTTTTTTTAAATTTAATTGAATAATTTATGCTTACTAAATTAATTATTATTTTAGGTTTTCAAATTGGGATTGGCCAAATCTATTCATCATGCACGAGTTTTGATCCGCCAAAGACACATTCGGTATGTATTTAAATTCTATTAATCATGCCAATTGTTTTGGGCAAGGATGCTGGTAAATTCTACCATGATAATCCTAATCACAATTAGGCTAAAGTATTTGCATTGTGTTAATCCAAGTTCAAATAAATGTTTTTTGATCTTTTTCATGACAATGCTACAATATTAATTCACTAATAATTTTATTATAGCCTATTATTCTTGGGCAAAGATGTTCTTAAATTTCATATGAGCTATCTTAATCGTAATAAGGCTATAACATAATACTTTGGTTAATCAAAGGTCGGAATGTTTATCTTCTGTCTTTTTCATGACAAAGTGACAGTATAATGCTTGACATTATTATTTTACCTATGTTTAATATAAATGCCATTTGTTCTTGGGCAAGGATGTTCATAATACATGTTTAATAATCCTAATCACAATGGGCTAAATAAATAGACTTTGGTTAATCAAAGGTCAGAATTATTATTTTCTGTCTTTTTCATGACAAATTAACAACCTATAATGGAATTTAATTTAATACGTGTCAGTTCAGTTAGAAGTATTTAGTTTAATTTTACTTAGTTTCTCAAACTCTTAAGGCTAATAAAGTCAATGATTGTTTTCCTAATTAGATGAAAAAACCAACTGCCTCTCAATGTTGGAAAAGAGTACAATTTTATTTTTAACAGGCCACTTAAAATGTTCATTTTTAATGTCATTTTAACGTCTGTAAAACAACTATTTTATTGTGTTGTTATGTTACTGGTTCTTTGATAAATCCATGTTACTGAGACCAAAAATGTGAGTTGCTTATGATTTAAGTCATTTACAAATGTAAATCGGAATGTTTTCTGATACTTTAAAATTCTTTATCTTTCTTTCATTTGGCCTTTAATTTAAATTATGTTATTAATTTTGTTTCAAATTTCAGTGTTCGCAAACAGGTAGTAAATGTACCATCATTCATTGTTCGTCTGGACTCTCAGAAACACATTGACTTCTCCTTGAAATCACCATTCGGTGGTGGTCGTCCAGGACGTGTAAAGAGGAAGAACTTGAGGAAGGCTAAGACTGCCAAAGACGATGGCAATGCTGTTGAAGAAGAAGAAGATTAATCCATTTAATCTTTTATCTGTACATTGTATTTTTTAATAAAAATATATTGACCTCCAATTTTAAGTTCACTTTTTATTTTGGTAATTTGTATAGTTAGAGCTTTTAATTGTTTTACAGACAATTATATTGTGTTTTGAATTTGTCCTGATTTTATACAGACACTGATATAATAAGTTTATCTTATGGTAAAGGATTTATTTTTACTTACAATTAAACGTTGCTATTGATTGTTTTGTTCCGTGAAGTTAATATGTAATAGTACAATGGAAGTTTTATTATCCTTGTTAATGGTACCATTGAATACAAATAATTATATTTTAGAACAAATGGTTGTTTGTAAGAAACAAGAATTATTGCATTCCATTATAAGGGACTTGCATATTTTGATTAATACGACTTAATTTTAACTGGGACTGACACTTGTTTAGATTTTTTACTGAAAATTCTAGTTCTCATTTTGTACATTTTGTCGAGTCGTGTAAAACAAATTATTATGATTAGAGCAAGGACTTTGATGCACTAAAAATCATTAAATATGCCCTCAAAAAAATTAATGCACTAAAATTTATAGCTCTAAAAATTATATTTTTTCTTTAAATATTTAATTTTGATAATTTTATATTATCTATATATAGTTTTAACTGAATTTGATATCACCATTGTAATCTAATTTACAACTATGATAAAATGAGTCTTGTATTAATGAGAATATAGAAACAGACAAATATAATAATTTTTGTCCTTAATCATGAAAAATATTCACTAAAAAATCATCAAAATATGCACTTATAATCAAAAAATATGTCCTTTAAACCCAAAATATGCAAAAATATACACTAAAAACTAAGATTTTAATCACAAACGTTGTGAAATGTATTGTGTTCTTACTCTGCATACGAAAAAGTACACCAGAAAAAATATGCATGTAAGTCCTTGTTCTAATTATAATATATACTTTAAAACCTAGTAGCTTTCTATTAGTAGGTGAAAAGTTGTACTACATGTATATTATCTAACATTTTTTTTTTGAAAAAACTTATATGACTCAAATTGTGATTACATTAATGTGAGCTGTGTTTATTTAGTTGCTATTGTATTTTAGTATGCAAGTGATAACTATAATATAACTTAACAAAAAGGTCAAAATATATCGATAGAAATAAAATTTATAAAACAAATAACAATTTAAAAATAAGATCAATCTATTTCAATGAAAATGTGATAATAAAAAACATTCTATTTAGATACATAATTAATAAGCGTGGCACTAATGAATTTGTTCAACAACATAGTTAATATTAGTATAAATTGATGGATTTTCAACACATAATACTTTGCTAAGACGGAATTGTTTTCAAATTAAGTTAGTAAAATATATAAAAAAAATAATTAATAACATATATAAATAATACAAATAAATTAAACAATGCAAAATGGATAAAAAGAATAATGAGAATAATATAAAATATGAAAACATTATGCTGCCTTAAGGTAAATCATAATATTTAAGCACCATGATGTAACAAAATAATAAATGTACGCCGTTTACAAAATTAACAATAGTTTTAAAAGCACTATAAATTATAATTAACCAGTGCCTTCTTTGATTTCTGCTTCTAAATCAAACCAACCAGTAAAACTGGGAGTGTTAATGTTGACATAGTCGCTAATGTTCAATACTATTTGACCTAAGACAGGACTATGCCAAGTCTTCTTGGTTAAGACAGTCACTTCCAGCTGTTTGCTGTTCAACTCGGCCACTCCCATGATGTACTCGAATGTTTCTTCATATACAGGGTTGCAATTGTCTTTATATGTCTACACATAAAATAGAAGCACATAACAATTATGTTTCACATTTTTCCCTAATACAGTTTCTTACTTCGGTTTTTCTTTTAGTGTTACTGTTTTCTTTTTTGGGTAGCACATATAACTTGACATAAGGATCAGGGATGTCCGAAGGTTCTTTGATTGGTAGGTTACTGTAAAAAGCAATGTATGCACGGCCATTAATAACTATAGCGTAAACAGTATCAAGACTAATGAAATAATGGTATTCTTACACGACTTTATGAATAGTAACATTGAGACGTTGTCTGGCCACACTGAACATCAATGTGATTTGTATGCTGCCTAAAATTCCTGTACCAGGAGCTGGTTCTTCTCTGTTTGATTAAAAAAGATGTTCATAAAAAAGGTTTCATTCTATAAGTCAATAAATAAATAGCAATAAGATATGATTCTTACGGTTCGGTTGACAGTTCAGTAGTTTCAGCTTGCTCCACAAGTGGTTCTTGATCACCGCCGCCAGCATGTGAAATTCGAGATATTGTTGAATCTCTTTTAATAGACGAGGTCCTACTCATACCATCTGTGGGTGTGTTAACTGCAACAGCTGAAGACTGAATCTCAGATATATCTGCTGATGTTATAACACTGTTGATAGATTTTGTTGACTGTACAGATGACTGTCTTGAAAGTGGTTTAGTTACTGAAGCAGCGTCGTCACTGACATCGACCAATAAGGGCAACTTTTTCAGAAACTATATAAAGTTGAAAGTAAGTAATCAAGTATTTTTTATTAAATATATCAAATCAATGATATACAAAATTTTTTTAATGAAGGGCATTGTATTAAATAACATAAAATAAATATGGTTTTTATATAATAAAAAAAGCCAAGGAGAAGGTAAAAAATTGTGTGCATAAAATTGTTTTAAAATACAATTTGAATATAAAAACATACTTTGAGTTGCATACAAAACAATATTTTGCTATCATGCTGTTGGTTTTTGCTGTCGATTATTAGATCATAAGGTTGAGTATCCACTCGCATATTTTGAGCAAGCAATAGTGATGATAATTCGTATACATACAGACCCAATTGAGTATTTGTTTTTTGATCTATAACCTATATATATATATAAAAAATAAATAAATAAAGTATACATTTTATAAACCTATAACAAAATACTATAAATACCTTAAATTCAATGGTGTCTGTTTCAGGGTTGCTCACCAAAAACGTGAATCCTTGTTCATAGACAGGACGTTCAGTGCGTAACTTTCCTACAGTTGCTTGGGTAGTTTGACCAACTGTTACTCGTACCAATGGATCTGGTTTGCTTTGGGCTCGGGCGTTCTATAATTTACCAGTATTTATGATAAAATGTTATTTTTAGAATATAATTTTATTAGAGTACACACTGGTAAATTGATGGCCGAGTCTATATACACCATCAATACAGCTGAACTTAGGTTTGTTATTCGAAGTTCTTGGGTTTCAGTAAGGGCCTAAACAGTAAAATATTAAATTCCCATGAACAAGACATGTGATTTCACTCTTCTATTACCCTCTTTAATGCACTCTGTTCCAAAGTCAAGTCCAACCAAATCATACGCACATGTATCATACCATGTTTGGTGTCCTCCAAGTTGATCCACTAAAAGTGATTGTTTTTAAAAATTGTAAATATATACATAAAAAAATTAATTCATAAGAAGTCAAAATTTCTAAGAATTTTATTTACCTTATCAAAGTAACCATTTTTTGCAACATTGCCAATTTGTATTGAAGCTCTACACGATAAAAATAAATAAAAATAATATTTGTTATTACTTATTTATATAATAGTATTTCACCTTCCTAGATTCGAATGTTTTTTTCCCACCATTTCGTCTTCATCATAAAGTTTGAGTTTCAATACTTGTCCTCTGGGAGAGAAGGATGCAAACTATACAAAAATAGTATTAAAATAATTAAATAATATAAGGATAAAATATTTGATCTCTAAAATAATATTCATCACCTCACACCAATAATCCCATTTAGGATTCAGTTCATTATTTATTGTATGAGTTTTGTATTGTTGTGAACCTAATGTAATAATGACGTAAGGATCTGATTTGCCTTTTCTTATTAAGCTCATGTCTTTGGCCACCAAATTTTTAGCTTGAAAGATATGTACACGTAGAACACCCTGGAACATAAATAATTAATATTCAAATAAAATAACCAAGAATTGGTTAGAGAACGTAGAATTTACAGTAGTGATACTAACCTCTGGCTCAGGTAACTTTACTACATGTGCAGCTATTTCATTACTCAAAACTATAGGCAGTTTGTTAGGTAAAACCATTAAAGCGGCTACTTGTTGGGCAATAACTTTTTTCAATATATCACTAAAACAATAATTGTGTTGACATTGAGGTAATGTTTGATATAATGATGTACCATAATTACTTGAGGCCAGGCATATCCAGTACGTCAGCAACACCCATCAAATCGTAATCAATATCAGGTTGATGTAGGAAAAATATCTGCATTCCACCTACCAAAGGTGAAGTAGTGAGCAATGGTTTCATAATTACTCTCATCATACCACGGATCTATTTATTGACGTTTCTACTATTATTAAAATTTTTTCTAAAACTTAAAAACTAATCGTCATTACTTGAAAATCTTTGATACCACAAGGGATTCCGCTTACAAAGAATGATATGTCACTATCACTAGCAAATCTATAAAATTTGAATGAAACAGATAATTTAAATTATTAGTTGCAAAATGGTTAGGTTAGGAATGGTAATAATCAATAAGTAACATGACTTACATAACATCAATGTCCAACATTATTTGATCGCGTGATACTTTATCATAGACTTTGACACCTCCAATTTTGGGTGGCTTAAATAAAAGAGTTTATTTTTAATAATGCGCCTAAAAGTGCACCTTTAAATCTTATGTGAAACATCATGAAATATCATTTTCAACTGAACACAGAACGTTTAAGAGGATGTCATACTTGCATGTATTATCTCTGCCTTATAAATGTACAATATGGTAAATTTTTGGCCAGTAGAACTAATTTTGTGTGTTTAGCTTAAATATTAGAATGAAATAAACCATTATAAAAGTTAAAGATAAAAACATTATTTGTGTTATATCATTAGTTTTTTATGATACTTCAATTTTTAAGTGAATTATGAGCATTATTAAGTATTGATAATTTATAAATTCATAACTCACTTAAAAATTAAAATAATATACAAAATTGACAAGAGAACACAGATGATATTCTTACCTTTAAGTTCAATAATAGGTTATTTTATTCTAATATTTTAAGCTAAGCACATAAAATTGGTTCTATTGAACAAAAATTTGTTATGTTGTATGATTGTCTTAGAAGACAGAGACAACATGTGCAGCTGTGGTGTTTAAGTTAGTAGACAGTACTCACTATAGATCCAAGTCGTAATTTATCAAACGCAAAATTGTTGATTTTGTATTCACGTAGACTTTCAATAACCATCGGTTCTACAGTATTTTTTATGGTGGTCTGAGCATATACGCTGATCATTGGCCACATTTGTTTGATAATCTAAAACATAGCATAGTTAAGCAGTCAGTTAACACCAGTGCATTGACCATTACTTTCCAGCAATGAGTACTTAAATACCTATCACTATCAAGCTTACCTGGTTGAGCCATTCAGCGCGATGGATATCTGGGAAGAACACCCAGGAAGGTAGCTCGGTAAAGTTAGCAGTGATCAAGTCCTTCTCGTTGGCAGCAGCAGCTAGTTGTGCACGACGGCGTTTTATTTGGCCAGAATTGCGCAAGAGGTCGCGGACGACCGACAGGCAGAAGAAGAAAGGCACTAGCACCCAAGCGCTAACAGACGCTACACGCCAAAAACCAAGAGCGTAGATGGAGACCACGGGTACTAGACCTTTGGTCACTCGCCAAACTGTTTGCCGAACGGTAGGTTTGTCCAGCGTGTTGTCCGCTACCTCTGCTTCACCTACTAATGCTGACGAATTATTGCCGTCATCTAGTAACCGCAGATCATCTCCTTGGCGATCCGCCATTGTTGACGAACGACAACAAGAGGAAGGAAAACTTTAAAATGTTGTCACAACAATATAAGTAGGCGACAGGCCGTCTACGCCACACGAACGAAAACTGATGAATAATGTATATAACTGTACAGCGATAATACTCAAAAATATGACATCATCATAATATTATGCTATTTTATATTTGATGTTGTTGAAACGGCCGAGGCAGTGGAGAGGAGTAGGAGTCGGTCTTCGTCGACAAGATTCGGTGGTGACCGGTGGGACTTGTCAGCAGTACTGTGGAATGTAGAATATTTCTAAACAAGTAATAATAATTATATTACAATAAGTTTGTTAGTTATGATATATTTTTCTTTTTATTTTTCGTAAAAACGATATAACTCGAACCGCAAAAAATGTATGCTGTTTTTTTTTCACCGATGGCGGGGTTCCTAAGAGTTATCATTTCCCTAACTGATAACGCGATGAATGAGTAATCCATTGATTGTTAACAGCTGTTGATAACGAAAATGATCCGTCCATAATAATAAGTAATCACATAATAATTAATAATTAATTAATAATTATTATTCTTAGCTGCTTTCATTATTATTTGTGTTCAACCTTCAATTTGAATAAATCATTAAATGATCGAATTTGTTCAAGTATAAATAAATAAACGTTCAGTGATTTAGGAATGAGAATGTTACCCCGCAGTAGCGTATTTCGATTAATTAATTAAGTATTTTCTCGAGGAAAAGGTGTCCAATTTCACCAAAACCAATTGTTAAATAAATAATAATACTACCAAGATTACTAGCACATTTTAATCAAGCTACCTAAATTGAAAAAATAAAAAACTCATTAAGAGTGATAGATAACTAAATAAAATATTTTACTTAGTTACTGTCTAATGATATACCTAGATAAAGGCTATATACTTCGGTAGTGATGGGTCGAACTGTTCGAATCTCGAACCAAACTATCAAGCATCTTTTACTATTTGAAAATCGAACTTGAAAATATTTGTCGAACCAGACTTTCTGGCCATGATAGTTCAAACTCATTCAAAAAAGACCAAATAATTGTATAATTCTTTAAAAGTAAAAAAGTTATTTTTACACGTTATATATTATAATTTATAATAATATGTTATTTTTCCACTGGCGTTACAGATCCACCCCCTGTTAGCCAAAACATTGATATGCTTTTTATCGCCAATAGAAGCCGCGTTCCTATATTTATAATATTGCTGTTTTTGTTTTTATCGTAGCGGAAAAAAAATCTATTTTGAGTACACCCATGGTAATATTCCTGTACCGTTATGTCTCTATAACTTTTTTTTCGCGTATATAATCGTTATTGAAATCGCAACAATTGGATGTTTATCGTTGTAACAACATGTCTAGTTTGTGATTTTATAATTTGTTTACATACTTTAAAAATAAATGATAAATAATAAATATAACTATTTCTATTTTAAATTGTATTTTTTTCTTATTAATAATTAATTATTGAATTATTATTTTTTATTAGATGGGTACTTACTACCTATGTAAAAGAAAAAAAAAATAAGAAATCATTTTAATTTATTGTAAATACAATTACATAGACTTAAAAGTTAAAATATGTAATAAGTAATATGAAAACTTAAAATATAATAGTTATTATGGTTAATTTAATTTGTAGATAGAATATAAACATGATAAAACATGTTGAGTTCGACTTATAATGATTTAAGTTCGGTTCGGTTCGGTTCGGGTTCGAAGAAATAATTTGAATTCCGGTTTAAGTTCGGTTCGATTTAAAAAATCAGGGTTTAACCCATCACCACAGTATATAGCTTGCCTACTAACAAAATTACGATGATTTAAGTATTGACGTTTCTTCAAAGTTTATCATATAATTTGTGAAAACAGTGATTAAAAGCTGCTGTGTAAAAAAATTTATAATTAAAAATAGGAGTGCAATAGCGTATCATTATCGACAACACCAATTATTATTGATTTAAAGTGAAATGCAGGCGAGAAAATTATTATTATTTATTAAAATATTAATTTGATTTTCGTGTAAAAATAATTGGATTTTAATACTTCTCCGTCTTAGTTTTTAGGTCTTAGAAAAAATTTAAATACTTTTTTTGTATATTAGTTTAAGAAATTTATTGAATAAAGATTTGAGTTTAGAATAATACAAAATTTAAGAATTGTTAAAATAAAAAAAGTCATAAAAGTATTTGTTTATTTTTGTCGGATTGCGTAATAATTTGATTTATAATTTATATAATTATAGAATGTTTCTGTAGACTGTAGTGATAAATAAGCGGCGCATACTCGGTCAAAAAGGAAGATATAAAAAATTTAACGTTTACTATTCCGATTAATAAGACATTGATGTTGAGATCTTTTGAATTGCAACCTGTATTAATTAATTAAAAAACTTATCTATTATCCCAAGTTAGAGGGTTTCTACATTGGTGGATATCCCTCCACACGTTATTATCTTTTGCTACGAAATTTAATTATTGTAATAACTTATTACTAATAAGTATTGTTAATTGTAAATATTTTTTTGCTTAAATAAATAAAAAAAATATATTATATTTAATGATGATGCAACTTATATTTTAGAGTGACTACTTTTTATTAATTCTTATTCGAGTATTCAATTTAAAACAATTTATTAGGTTTTTTCGAAAGAAATTAAATTAATTTTTTTTTTACAAGCAATTTCTTTACAAAACCTTTTGCATTTAAGATTGCTCGTATTGTTATTACAGGAATAACCTGTTTCAATAAAAGAGGATATCCACGTATTCAAATGGCGATTGAAAGTGCTGCGGCTTTTCGATATTTTTGAAATTGCAGAAAACGTAATTCTAATATTTTGTTCTTGCATATTGGATAATTATCATAATTTATACATTTATATTTTATAAATGTATTTTGAATTATAATTTTCATCAGTAAAATACTTTTTTTTTTAAAGTTTTACTAGAACACTAAAAGTTTTATTTTAACGTTTACTCATTATAAAATATCATCATACGCAACTGTTTTGCTGGATTTTAAAAACAAATTTGAAAAAAAAATTCTCAGTGTAAAAATAATAATGATGTATAAGTAACCTATTTATGACGTTAAAGCATTTAATATTTGAAAATATAACGAAAAATAAAACAAATATATAAAAATCAACGTCACAAATTCACAATATCAAATACATTACTGACCGGTAAATAGTGTGACGGCCGGCGGATACGTTAAATTTAATTAAACGTAATTATAAAAACAATAATATATAATATTTTATATAATATAAACATAGGCGCAACTAAGGTAAAAATTCTGGAGGGGGCTATAGCTCCAAACAAATTTATTTGCTTCCATTTGAAATGTTATATTATATTATTTATAATTAAAAAATAAATACAAATAGTTGTTATTTTATTTATTTTATATTCGTTGGTTTTTTAATTTATTATATTTTTCCAATATGTCATTATTATTTATATTGTTGGAAATATCTCTCTCAATGTTTATAATGGCTAAATTTGAAAACCTATCTTGCACCATTGATGTTATTAGCTAATTTTTAATACGTCTCGTACAAGAGAAGGATCGCTCGCATGTTGCTGAACTTATTGGTTTGGTTAGAGCTACTGGTAACATATTATATCCTTCTTCACAATTTGTTTGATGGTGTCTAATTTAAAATTTAATTCACAGTTTTTAGCAATGGACTTATCCACCTTTAAATCATTTTGATTTACATTTAAAATTGACTAAAAACCACAAAATGTTCAATTACTATGAATTTTTATGTATTAAATAAATATTTTTAAGTTTTAAAAATTTACCTGATATTGATTTATAAAATATTCACTGCTTTTTAAATGCATTTTTGAGAGAACTATCTAAAGAAGTGGCCAAGAGTAAGCTTTCAGTTGAAATAAAACACAATATGCAACATAGATAAAAGACATTTTCATTATCACTGATAATATTGTCGATAAGTTATCAATTAAATTTCACAAATAATTAGGTCCCTATAATTATACCTAAAACATCTAAGTGTCATCAGTCATCAGTGTCTAAATAAACATCTAGTGTATTTTAGATTACCTATTATTTAATATTAGTTATTTGATTTGATTTTTTTAAAATTAAATTAAATTCCAGAATAATCACCATCTATTAATAAACATAATATTGTATACATTATTTACAAAAATCATATACAGTATAGGACGATAGCCAAAATTCGTTGATAAGTATTTTATCATATCATAATAAAGTTTAAACTAAAATAGAATTTTTTAATATGAAAATCTTAAACATCAAAAACAATTTAAATAAATCAATTTATAATATGTATATTGACATTTAATATATTTTATTTTTATTTTACCAACTATTTTTAAAAGTATAAACATATTTGGACAAAGATATATAGGGGATTTAGTTGTTACAATGAAGCGAAAAAAATTTAGAACACTAAATAAAATAAAATGAAAACATTTTAAAATATTGTACTAAGAAAATTAAGTTTTAATATGGTACTACTTATGCTCTTCTTTTATTTCAAATCATATACCTACTTCGTTAATATTTTGGAATAATGTTAGATGTTAGTATATTCAATATATGTTACACGAAGAAGCTAAATGCTTTTATAATAGTTTTCGCAATATTTTATTTCACCTTCATCATTTCAATACACAATATAATCCACCTATCAAAAATTTATCATCCTTATACATTCCAGATGGTAATCCTCCAAGACACATTTATGTTTAAATACACATCATGTCCAATGAACATAAAACTTATTTTTAAAACTAAAAATGATGCTTAACCACTTTCTTAAATAAACTCTTCATATTATATATTATACTTGACGTATGTTGTTGGGTCGAAATTTTATAAAACATTAAAAATTATTGAGTAAAGTCGTTATAATTGATACGTACTTGAATAAAAATGACGGGCGTAGTACTTACAATTTATTACACTCTCGGTTAACCTTTAAAATTCAGATGAACTAGAAATTAAAAGATTTTCACGACATAAGTTTATAATACGAGTAAAAAAAAAACAACAAAAAACAATATTTACGACTAGTGACGTTGGATTCAGTGTTTGAATAAAATAACAATAAAAAACAAGTCCGAATTATTTTGACGAATGACGAGTGGTTAAAACTTAAAACAGTGAAACGTTTAACGTGATAATAATAGACCTTCTCTTGAACGCAGCTAGTAAAAGTCTGATATGATGAGTTGTGTGTGGGCTGAGGTGGGGTAAGGCCGTCTAGATATTACTGTAATGTTACGTAGACAACACTGTGTACAATGTAAGAATATATTTTTAGGCGATTGTAATGAATAATGATTGTATTTATATTTGAATATTAGATACGTTTTATACTTGCATATTTATTGTATTGATAATAACATGCCTTCTCTTTCGTGAGTATATTTTTTCGTATGCGGGTGACCTTGCGTTTTTTTATTACAGTTTAGCACTGTTGCTTCTTTTTTTTTTTTATAAATAATATTTAAATTATAAAACTACTATAGCTTAGAGTATTGATACTTGTTTACTTTAAAATACGTTTAAAAGGTAAAAATCCTATTATAATTTATAGCGTTTTACGAAATATTATTAATGTTATTGTATACTAAGCGGTAGATACAGTAAGGGGGTATATATTAATATATTATATGATGGTATATTGGTATATTCTTCACATTTTAAAATGTTGCAAGAAAGATAAACAACTTTTAATATATGTGGACAGAAATTGAACAAATTTCATATGATCATTTAATATTATAGTTTTAAATATGATCAGACTATAGTATAGATTATGTGTTGTGTATTTATGTACAATAAAATTGAAAAATAAAATTTGAGAGACACCTATGAATAAAATTAATTTGTAAAAAAGAATCGGTGAATTATAATAATATATTGGTTCCCTGTGTGGACGGTCTTAAAATTGTTGTATACATTTTAATTGAATTTAAGTGTAAACAACAAAAATATAAGTATATATATATAAACAAATAAATACACTTATACAGAAATAATTCAATAATTGTGTGTGTTTTAGTTTTAGTCATCAATGGTTGTTCATTTCTTTTTATGCATTAAAGCCCTTTTTATTTTATTCTAACGTTATTTCAGTGATACTGATTTGATGTTATAAAAACGAAACTAAATAAATTATTATATGTTAAACCAATACATTTTTACAAAGAATAAATTAAAGATTTTATAGCTTATATAGGTATTTAATTTATTTAAGTAAATATGTTATGATTTGGTTTATTTTTGTTATTGATTTCTACAAACTTAAATACAAGAAAAATTAATCTGTTATTATGTAAGCATTTTTAAGTTTTTCGATTATTTTAATAAATTGTTAACTTATCTATTTACCTATATAGATCTATAGTGCTGAATTTAGATATTTTGTGCCCCGATGTAAAAAAATATTGGCACCTTCCTAAGGTGTTTAACCTACAAAAAATATGGGAGATATATCTTCATGAACCTTTAAGACTTTAAATAAATAAAAGAATATTAATAGCTTTAAAAAAAAAATATTGTTTAATAATTGCATGATCCCCTTCCCCCTCTTCAAAGATATATTTGAATGTTTGTTACTTGAACCCTGCTTATTATTCATTATATAAGTTGTTTTTTGTGTTCTAATAAAGTTTATTTACGATTTTGATATCCACTTAACTTTTTTTTTCTGTTATAATTAAAATAATATAAAACAAATATAATAATAAATCAATAATAAACAGCGCCGCTAATTAGAAAAAGATACTATAATAGACATAGTGTCTATATTGTCTATTAACATAATTACAAAAAATTTGGAAAACGATTTGGGATATGAATAATTCTCGATCGTTGATAGCTATATTGTTATAAATACATTAGTTAAAAGCATAATACATTAACATATTATATTATATAATACTGTTATTAAAATAATTTCAATTATAAAAGTTTTAATAGGTATTCACTTGTGAATACATTTCTGACGAAATTTCGGCACCCTCACAATACTGACGCTTGGGGCAGTTGCAGCCAATGCTCCCCCTTAAATGCGGCACTGCATAGATCCATTCTGAATCATAATTTTCAAATTTTTAATAATAATTTGTTGATCATACAATTACGTACTGTATTGATATATAGTATGGATGTATTATTCTTTTTTGAAATTTATTTTCCTGCATAATATGAATTTATTTATGAGTTATGACTATAACTTTACTTATGGGTAATTATTATTTGTTAAGTGGATAAACTATTATACTAGAAGTTATGGCGACTAGAGCATAATGTGTGAACATAATGAATTGGATGAAGTGATAATTGTTTAAATATTGTATTGATATTTAAATGTTTAAAGCATAAGTGGGTAATATAAAGATATAGTATAATAAATAGTAATAATTGTTTAATTACACAAGACAGTGTGTTTAAATAATAATATATAAGAATTCCATCGATTTATTTAAATCAATAGCCAATGCTTTTGTGGTTTCATATATAGTAGGTATTTAGTTAAAAATATAGTTATTTATTTACAATAGAAATTATGGAAATACTTCAACAATAATCATTGTGTTGCACAATAACAAGACGAATTTCATAAAAATTTATATTTTTTCTTTAATAATTTGGTATAATATTGTTTTTATGATATTCAAATGAATCTGTACACAATACGACTAATAAATTGTGAATATGTTTTAATAGGTACACATAAAACTGGCGTGTAGCATCTTCTTAATAATAATATTATACCAGAAAATGTATGTAGTAAAAACCTATCATTATACTGGCACATATTTTGTTTTTTAAATTTATTTCTTAGTGTACACAACACAATATGATGGTAATTTTAGACTCTAGAGAAAAAAAAAATCATACATTTAATAAGTAGAACATAATATTTAACGTTTGATAAATAATAAAATTAATTTTTACACGTAGTGCAATATACTTTAACTTTGTACATTATTATAGTTATGATTGATATGAGTTTATAGCGTATGCAACTATATGTTTATCACATATATGAGTAGAAGTCAATTGAACTACTTATCGTTATGTACAAAGAGGACAGTATTAAATAATAAAATCGATATTAACACTGAAGGTTTATTTATGGGTCTACAATGGTGATATTATATCTTTTCCTTTGACTTTTTTTTTCATTATTATTTTTCCAAGATCTATAATTTGTTACACAAACATTGTCAAAATCTCTATCTTCATAATATTTGGGGCATTCGGTAGTGTTATTATATAATATACACCTAGGTTTTTATTATTATATTGTATTGCATTTCAAAATTTGTATTATTAATTATTTTTTGAAAACGTATATTATAAACTAACAACTAGATTACCTAAGATACGTTGCTCAGTTCTTAAGAATGACTTTAAAATATTATACGCAGTCAATTACGTTAGTCAATTTTCGCGTATTTAAATAAAATAAGTTTTTATATCAATATATCATACAAATATTTAATTTATGTGTTTGTTTTTAATAATATATGAATAAAACAATCATTTTTTACCAAATTTTTTTAAACTGTACCCATGTTAATCATGAAGGAAGCATTAGAATACATACTTTTTTTAAACGTTGACGTATTAATATCGGACGTTGAACAAATTATTTTTGGTTAGGTAAGCATTTAAAGTGTATTCTATTTGTATAATTTTGACGACTAAGCGAGCGGCAAGAATGTATTTTTTAGACTACTTATTTTGTGAGAAACGCCTTGCCCTCACATCCATTGTAAGTTTATATCTAACATTTAAATGCTTATTAGGCAATATAAAATATTTTTTATATTTATTTGATTTTTGATAATGAAATTAACATTTTTAGAAAAGTTAGCTGTTAGAATGATTATGAAATAAGAATATATAGGGTTATTGTTAATAGAAAATTTAAAAACTTTAAATTATGGTCGGTGATAAAAAATTCTAATTTCTAAATTTTAAGAAATCTAAAATTGTTTTAGAAATATTAGTGTAGTTAATTAAATAGTTCACATATCGAATATATATGTTTGCGTATTGCGTATATAACAATATGACCGCTGAAAATATTTGTAAACCTTTTAAAATAATTAAATATTTAAAAGTAATATGTTGGTATAAGGGTGTCAATGTCAATTATTTTAAAAGATTATAGGTGTCTTGCTTTTAGACTATAATAATAAATGCTTTCACACGGGCATAATGTAAAGAGTTTTCAAATGTGTATTGTGTATATATAAATATATTTTTTTATTATTAATCATCATATTTTGTAACGTTTTGAGTTTATTGTTCAAATAATATAATATGATGTATTATGTACTTATCGAAATGTTTATTACACATGCTAATATATTTGATCATATTATATTATGTATAACACCTATAATTGTGTATTACATTTAATATATTATGTACACCTATTACACCTATTTTAAACTAATTACCTATAAATGTTACTCAATACGTCAGACAGATTAGTATCTACATTACTACTCCCAACTACTTATTTTCATTGACTGTATTTTTTGTAAGGTATTTTAAGTTATACCTAAGTTATACGTAGAAAAAGAAATGTAAATGAATTTTAGGAGCAAAATAATTTTACTTATTAAGTGCATTATAAATTATATTTGTTCGTGTCGTTATTTTGGTGCACAGGTGTCATAATGATGTGAAATATTATATAGGTCATGTAGAATATAGCTATTATGGATACTCATATCTACTTCTTATCCACTTAATAGTGTTTACTAAGAATTTTATTCCGAATGGTGTTCCGCTACAGATGCTATAGCGCGTAAATTGTTCGCTGCTGTCGTAATATGTGTTAAGAATTTATATCATTAGAAATTATTTTTATAAACAAATTTCAAAAAAAAGCATAAATTAAAAGAAGACACGGCCATATAATGAAGTGAATAAAATTGTTTAAAGAATTTCTTTGCATGAACAGAGAGTCAAAATAAACATGGTTTGACAAAGTGAGGGGAGGCTAAATTAGAGTATTGTGACAGATTTTGAACTGTTTGTAAGTACACTTTCAAAGCACGTGTATTTCTAAATTTCTAATTTAGTTAAACTTTCTGTTGTTTACCGAGTTTTATGCGCAACGTATCATTATGCAAAAATATTTTTTATTTAATTTACTTA